TGGCCCAGCAGTTTAATTAGTGTAAGTTTCTGAATGATTATTTTATAAGTGGTGCTGGACAAGACTAGAGAAAACTTCAACTACACTCATGTGCTAGAATTAAAGGTGTGTGCCACCATTGTCTGGGTCTGTTTCTCTTTCAGACTGGATTAATATCATGTAGGCCAGTGTGAACTTGAACTTACAGAAATTCAGAGAGATCTCTGCCTCCGCCTCCTGAGTGCTAGAATAAAAGTTTAAAGTTGTGTGCCACCACTGCCTATTATGGATATTGCTCTGTATGCTGTGAATGTGTTGCCCTGATTGCCACTACTGCCAATAGCCAGGCAGGAAGTATAGGCAGGACAAAGAGAGAGGAGAATTCTAGGAACAGGAAGGCTGCCGGCCAGATACAGAGGAAGGAAAGTATAAAAGTACCAATAAGCCACAAGCCACATGGCAACTTATAGATTAATAGAAATGGATTAATTTAAGATATAAGAACTAGATAACAAGAAGCCTGCAATGGCCATACAGTTTATAAATAAAATAATTCTCTGTGTGTTTACTTGGATCTAAGTGGCTGCAGGCCCCAGTGGGACTGGAGAAATCTCCAGCTACAACTGCCTGACCTCTAACTCTGAGGCTGGCTCTGTCTTCAGGCAAGCTTTATTTCTTAGAGTATATGAATATATATGTAGTGGGTAGCCCTTCCAGCTTTGACCTGGAAGTACCACCCCCTTTGAGGCTTCCATAACTGTCATGCCTACAAGGCAGAGCTGAGAGAGGACCCCTGAAGACCTGAGATCTGGATGGTTCCTGGGTGCTGGAGGTAGACTGAGCAGAGTTCTCCAGAGAAAACTGCTGGACTGCACTTCATCTTTCCCAGACCCTGTCATCCATCCCTTCACTTGTAAGTTACCCCACAAAATAAACTTCACTTTTAACTATGTGGAGTTGCCTTAATATTTAAACCAATACTTAAGATCATATACCTATAATTCCCACACTAGGAAGATTGAGACAGGAAGTGAAATGGCTGGACAGAGAAAGGAGTATAAGGCAGGAGGAGACAGGAACTCGCATTCTTTCAGGTTGAGGAGTTAGTTGGTGAAGAGGTTGTGGCTGTGACTTGCTCTGCTTCTCTGATCTTTCAGCTTTCACCCTGATATCTGACTCTGGGTTATTATTATAAGACCATTTTAGGATTCGTGCAACAAGAGGATGTTTGTCTTTTAATGTTTCCTTAAGAAACAACTTGGTTTCAGTGCCTCTTGATATTCTTTTTTTCTATTTTGTTTATTTTAGCCTGAATTTGATTACATTGTGCAGTCTGCTCCTTTTTGGTTTGATTACTTCTTTTTGTTATAGAGATTGTAAGTGTGCTTTTAAGCTGATAGTATGAGATATCTCCAATTTTTTATTTATGTGTTTACTGAAATGAACTTGTCACTTAGAACAACTTTCATTGTATTTCATAAGTTTGGGTGTGCTGTGTATTAATTTTCATTGAATTCTAGAAAGTTTTCAATTTTTTTATTTCTGTCCTGACCAGATTTTCATCAGTAGGGATATATTCAGTTTCCATGAGTTTGGAAGTTCTGTTGCTTCTGTTGTTGCTGATATTCAGCTTTAATCCATGGTGGTCTATCAGGATGCAGGGAGTCATTTCAATTAGCTTGTATCTGTTGACACTTATTTTTTGTCTGAATATGTGCTTAGTTTCTGAGAAAGTTCCATGAGGTGCAGAAGGTATATTCTTTTGTGTTTGGGTGAAATGTTCTGTAAATATCTGTTAGATACATTTGGTTAATAACATCTCTTAGTTCAAATTTTTCTGTTTAGACTTTGTATCTCCTGTCCACCGATGAGAGTGAGGTACTGAAGAATCCCACTATTAGTGTGTGAGGGTAAGCAAGTTATATAAAATACAGTAATGTTTCTTTTTAAAAAGTTGGTGCCATTTAGCTTGGGGAATAGATACTATGAATTGAAGTGTTATCCTGGATGATTCTTCCCTTGATCAGTATTTGGTGTCCTTCCTTATCTCTTTTGATTAATTTTAGTTTGAATTATATTTTGTTAGATATTAAAAGTTCATATAGTCACACCCAGATTCCTTCTTCAGCCCACTTGCTCAGAATATTAATTTCCAACTGTTTTGACATCATTTAATATCTATCATTGATGTTGCAGTGTGATTTTTGGATCAAGTTACGGGATTAATCTTATTTTCATATTCATCCTGTTAATCTGTGTCTTTTTGTTGGAGAATATAAACCAATGGTATTCATAGATATCAATGGTCAATTGTTAATGATTATTGTTTTCTTGTTGGTGGTGGTAATGGTGATGATGGTTTTTGAATGTGTGTGTGTGGGGGGGTGCTTCCCTTCTTTTGATTTTGTTGGTGTCTTATTTATTCCCTATGTGTTCATGTGTGTAGTTAATCTCCTTTGGTTGTCTATGTGTTGCCTGTTTCCCTGTCCCTGCTCAGATGGTGTTTTCACAGGGAATGACTACTGGATTTCTTGAATCCCTATCTAGAGAAATAATGCAAAAGAAAGAAATTAAAGGGATAAAAATAGGAAAAGAAATCAGATTATCCTTATTTATCAATAATATGATACTATACATAGAATAGCCTAAAATTTTGACTGGAAAACCTTGAGAAATTATCAACACTTTCAGCAAAGTTTCAGAATACAAAATTACTTTATAAATACCAGTAACTTCTCTACATACCAATGAGAGGTGTGCAAAGGAAGAGATCTTGGAAACTCTCTTACTTACAATAGCCACAAACATATATGAGAATAAACCTAGCCAAAGGGGAATAGTGTAAAAGACCCATAAAATGAACACTTTAAATCTGTGAAGACCTAAGTTGAGGAAGACACTAGGTATGGAAAGTCTTTTTATGTTCATGGTTTGAAAGAATTAATATTATGAAAATGACTATCCTACCAAAAGAAACATACAGATTCAATTCAATTCCAGTTAAAATCTTTATGACATTCTTCACAGAAATAGAAAAAAATCATCCAAAATGTTATATGGAAGCATAAAGACATTATATATTGAAAATAATTCTCAACAAAATGAACAATTCTGGAAACATTATACTACCAGATTCCAAGCTGTATTGTAGAGGTATAGTAATAAAAATGTCATGGTACTAGTCAAAATCAGACATATAGAACAAGAAAAAAATTGAAAGACCAAAATATGAGTGCTTCAAATTATAAGCATCTCATATTGGGGTTATCTAAAATATACACTACAGGAGACAGAACATCTTTGGCAAATGGTACTGAGAAAACTAGATGTTCACATGTAGAAAAATTAAACTAAACTCATATATATCACCCTGCAAAAAATCAACACCAAATGGATCAAAGATTAAATATGAACCTGAAATAATGAAACAGCTGCATAGAAACACAGGCAGTACCAATAAAATATAGTTGAAGTAAAGGATATTCTGAATAAGGCTCCATTCACTGATTAATTGAAACCAACAACTGACAAATGAAAACTCATAAAAGTAAACAGCTTCTGCATTTGGTCAGTGTTAATATCTATATTTGTCTTAATCTTATGATAGATGAAGATTCTTTTTTTTTTAAAGATTTATTTATTTATTATGTATACATTGTTCTGTCTATACATATCCCCACAGGCCAGAAGAGGGCACCAGATCTCATTACAGATGGTTGTGAGCCACCATGTGGTTGCTGGGAATTGAACTCAGGACCTTTGGAAGAGCAAGCAGTGCTCTTAACCTCTGAGCCATCTCTCCAGCCCAAAGATTCTTTAATGAAGGGACAGAACTATGTTTATTTGTGGGTATAAGAGTAAGTATTTAGACTAGTATTGCATCATTAGGGATACTATTGCAAGTTAGTTTGTGTATCGTAGGCTTTTTCACTGGATTGGCACTTTTATTTTGGGGGAAATCCATAGCTGTCTTTAATTGGATTTAATACCCATTGAAGAGCATAGAATTCATACCTACTACTGTAAACATAGAAAACTACCCATAGATGGGAAGGACATAAACCCTAAAGGAGATCCTGTTTTTGCCATTTTCCTAGACCAATATACTATCTTAACTATACTCTAAATATATATCCTAATACCAAAGGTAAGTATAGCTCTTGACCCTTTTTAGAATATCTTCTTTTTGCCACAGATGGAGATAATTACAGAGATACATAACTGGTCAAATGCAGAGAATATATGACCATTGGATGTTTGATCCCAGTTGATACATCTACAGTTCAGTGATTCACCCAAGTTGCAGGGATTGTTATGTAATGGAGTCAGAAAGATTTTAAGAAAAGAATCATGCTGCTTGTTACTTGTGTCTTCTGGACATGACTGAGAGCCCATACCTTTGAAATTCCAACAATATAGTTGTCTAAATAAAACACACAGTATGGTTGTATAAGCAAGACAATATCAGTTGACATGAAAACTCAGATGAAGAAATTTCACAAGGTTCTATTCTTAGGTAAATTGACACAAGCAGTCAATAGCTCTGTAAGAGGGAGAATCAATCTTCTTCACAGACAAGTAACTTGATAAATTATCCAGTCTCTACAAATGTTTTTAGTTACTTTATTATCCTAAGAGTATTTTTTAAAAATATAAGTTAAATAGTAAATCATATGTTCAGTGCTATTTTCAAGGGTTGGTCAGAATTTTTGTGAGTAGACTCAAAATAGTAAAACTCAAGTTTACAAATGCAATCATTGTGAAAAACATCTCAAAACTTAGGACAAAAAGGGACAGATTTGAGGCACATATCACTTCCAAAGCTTGTATAAGAAAATCTGTTAGTTTTAAGGCAAAAAATCCTATTATTTTAAAAGAACAAGTATCCAAGTGGGACGAATTAAGTGACAGGATAAAACACAGTTCTGATAAGACAATTTGTAGGCAAGTTTGAAAGACCAAAAAGAAAGGAATGATAAAAAAGAACTTGGAAGAGTTTCAGAAGCTATTCAGTATACAGAAGAAATCTGCAGTTGCTGTGGGCCCTAGTGCTTTGATACTGTTTTCAGTGGGGCTCCAAATAAAAAAATAAGTGGCTCCTTGCCAGTTTCTGTATTCTCAGTTTCTGTATTCTCATCCAACTGTTCATATTTCAAAGGAGCTTAAGTTGTGAAGGCTGAGGGTTAGGCAGCCATGTAGTTTGCCTGAGAGAAACAAGTGAATAACTTACTAGACTATTTACAGATTTTTTTTTCATTGTGATAATCATTAGTACTCAAAAATATGACAGAAAAAAATATTCATGCTTAATTTAAAAAGTTATCAACAAACAAAATGTCCACATTTCTTAGTAGATCTTTTCTTTTTCTTCTGTTTTACTTCCTAACTAAACTTTTCTTAGTTCTCAGATAATTAAATGCATATAAAAATATTAGGCATATTTTCTAAATGTTTAAAAAACATAGTAATTTACATATTTCTTATAAATTAATTGATTTTTCCAATTTTTATATCAACCAGCAATATAAAGTTAAAAAATGAATTATGTTTAACACTACTAATTTCTTGACACTATTGATCAGCAACATATTAATGATAACACTCAAAAGCCAATAGGATCTTAGCAAGTATTTGCAAGCAATTAGGAGAATTGAACAGATATTTTACTATTGCATACTCAATGGAAATTTGTGTTTTCAACTTTATAAACAATTAGAAGGAACATTTACTTTATACTTTAAATAATGTTTAAAGATTTACTTATTTTTATTTTATGTGTTGGAGTATTTGCTTGCATGTATGTGTGTGCACTATGTGCATGAGTTCGTTTGGAGGACACAAAACAGTGTTGTAACCCCTGGAATTGGATTTACAGAGGATTGTGAGCAACTATGTTTGTGTTGGGAACTAAATACTCCTCTACAAGAGCACCATAACCCAAAAAATACTGAGCCATCTTTATAGTCCCTTGTTTTATATTTATTTATAAAGAAAAATTTTGAATTGAGCACAGTTTATCGCATTTGTTTTGGAGACTTGCAAAGTCAATCAAAGGAAAATAATGCATAAAGTTGAAAACCTAACATAAACTAAATCACAATTTTATAGTATAAAGAATCATGCCCTCTGTGATTGTTAACATTGATAGTCAACTTGACAAGATCTAGAATTACATCTTCAGAGACAATACTCTACAAACATTTGTAAGGGAGTCTTTAAATGGTGGTGCTCATTGAAGTGAGAAGACTCAACTTAAATGTGGGTGGCACCATTTCATCATCTGAGGGTTGACTGAATAAAAAGAAGAAAATGTGTTGAGAACAAGCATTTGTTTTCTTCTGCTTCTGTGAGCTCTATGTGATATGTTGTGTTATGTTTTTGTAACTATGCTTTAACCACAATTATTTTCCCTGATATTTTGGATCAGAACAAACTCTTAAGCTTTTTTTCTGGGTATTTTGTCACAGAAATGAAAAATAAATGTTACTAATATAGAGAGGTATGGATAAGTGAGATTGTTGTCATTACATACCCGATGTCATTATTAATCATTTATAAATGGCTTTTAGAGCTGGGTGGCAGTGTTGCATGCCTTTAATCCCAGCACTTAGGAGGCAGAGGCAGGCAGATCTTTGTGAATTCGAGGCCAGCCTGGTCTACAGAGAGAGATGCAGGAGAGGAACCAAAACTACACAGAGAAACCCTGTCTCAAAAAAACAAACAAACAAACAAAAAAAGAAAAGAAAAAGAAATGGCTTTTGGGAGGAATGAGGTAGAATTGGAACTTCGAGCTAAAATAGACATAGAATTCTGAAGGCAGAGCTTAATGGACCATTATTAGATGTTTGAAAGACCAGAATGCTAAGACAAATGTAAAGAATGGAGTCCCATCTCATTGGCTTTTAGAGGGAAACCAGAACTATATAAGGAACTGTGATATAGGCTATTTCAATAATATCTTGGCCCTTGTAATATCTGCCAGAGAAAGCTACAGACATGCAGGCAGATTAGCTTGGGGGATGATGGCCTAAGACTTTTGTATGCCAGATAATTCTATTGTATGATCCAGATACTTTACCTGGAAATGGATTTGCTAGGTTTTCATCTTCATTGGTTTTAGCTATCACTGCTATGCCTCCATCTTCCATTTATAAATGGGAATATTTACTCTGTACCATTGTATGATATATATATATATATATATATATATATATATATAAAACCTTTTTTTATGCTCTAAAGACTCCCAAGAAAGCAATTGTCAGATTGCTAAAATCTCAGAGGAGATTTTAAAGTTACACTTTTGGGCAATGTTTGAGCTATCACAGAATATATGAATTTTTAAAATTGAATTTTAATGCAGTTTACATTATGTGAAAAAGAGCAGAGGGGGGAAAAGAGGGAAGGTTTGTACCTTAAACGTGGTATGTTTGGGTCTTGACTTACAAGAGGTACACTTATGAAGTTAATAGTATGAACCCTCTAAGACAGAAACCTTTTGGTGTATATGTAAGGGAGCATTGATATAGTGTTAATTGTGATGAGGAGGCAAACCTGTTTTAGTCAACATTCTCTAGAGTAACAGAACTTATTGAACCTATCTATCTGTCTATCTAAATGATATTTATTAGAATGACTGTGGTCCCACAATGGCAGCCTCTGAGTGGACAATCCAAGAATCCAGAAATTGCTCAGTCCAGGAGTTTGGAGGTTTCATCTGGTCTTCAATTGATTCTGTAATCTGGAAGCACTGGGCTCTAATTCTAGTGAAGAAATGGATTTGCTAGCAATGTGAAAGCAAGCAAAGAGTAAAGCTTCCTTCTTTTGTGTTTTTATATGATCTTCCAGCAAAAGTTGTGGCCTAGATTAAAGGTGTGTCTTCTCAACTTCCTGCCTCAAGATTCAGATTAGAAATGGTTATTCCTACTTCAAATTAAGCAAAAAATACCTCACAGGTCTGCCCTCTATTTTTGGATTTTAGGTAATTCTAGATATATTCAAGTTGACAACCAAATCATAGCTGTCACATAACCCTAAATGTATATGTTGCCATTCAATGAGCTGGGTTTATGACTGATTTAAAAAGTGAAAAGCAGCTGAGCACAAGCATTCATCTCTTTGGATGAGAATGTGATTGGATCAGTTATTTCATAATACTGTCACAATACCTTTCCTTACTTAACAGTCATCATAACCTCAAACACAGAACAAAAATAAATCCATCTTACTTTTGTTACTTTAGCATTGTAATTTTGACTCAGCAGTAAGAAAAATGCCAAAAAATCTATTTGAATATTTATAGTATGTAATTCATAGTTAGAAAGATATCTTAAAACTATACACACTATATGGACAAATCAGTTCTTAAACCCACCCAGATATTCCAGCTACATTGCTTCATATCTCTTCAGACCTCCACACCTCTGTGGCTAGTGCTGGCATTAAATTTCTGTCTGTTGAAAATTCAAGTTGACAATGCTTTAACATATTTCTGTAGTTTGACATGCCCCACCCCATGGTGTTTGTCTCAAGCCTTGAATGTACTCTTATAAGAAAAAATGTTCTGCCAAATAATTTTGAAAGGATCAAGCAAGATCCTATATAACCAAAATTCTTCTGAAATTCCCTGACACTTAAAAATGCCCTTGTCCAGGCAGGTCCAGTCCCCTCCTCCCAGATTGAGCCAAGCGTCCCTGTATAAGTCTGCCTGGACTGAGTCTATCAGGTTGATCTCAGTCCTTGGGGGTGGCCTTGATTTGGAGGTGGTGGGAATGGGGGGCCGACTGGGGGGAAGGGGAGGGGGCCAGGAAGTGGGAGAACAAGGGAATCTGTGGCTGTTATGTAGAACTGAATAGTATTGTAAAATAAAAAAAAAGAAAAGAAAATGCCCTTGTCTTGCAAGTTTTTTCTATTTATTTATTTATTTTTATTACATGTCAGGCACAGATTCCCCTGTCCTCCCTCCTCCTGTACCCCCACCCTCCCCCCAGCCCACCCCCCAATTTTTTTGTTTGTTCGTTTCTTTCTTTCTTTTTTGAGGACATAAACCCTACCTTCTACTATGTCCAATGTGATGTTTTCAAATTTTGCCTAAAGGAGACAGCCCTGACTGACAAATAAAGCTTGCTTAATTTGACTGAGGAATTTGGGTAATGGTCTTTATTCTCATTCAGTGGGATTACCAGACACTATTGGATCTGTCCTGAAAGCTTCATTCATGTGATCTAAATTATATGGTTCTGGAAACAACTGTGTATACTGCCAAGGGAAGGAAGTAATTAAACAGTCCTACTCAGTACAACACCTAGAAACAATGATAATTGTCAGCATAGGAAGATACATATAAAGGTCAAGAAAGAGGCACTCAAAAATTAGTGACAACCAATTTTGTCTAGTTGGACTTAAAACCAACTCATCAGGAGGGAAATGATGCATGGTACTAGAAAGGAAATGTAGCTAGCTTTCTGAGGCTAGTGAGTTTGTAGACTTTAGAAAAGTTTTATATACTTTGAATTAAGCAACATAATTGAATAGAATCTGAAGAATTTATTTTATAACAGTTTACCTCCAAGATTGAACTAGGCAGGAAATGAGCTTGATCTTTATCATCTTCTTTGTTCTTTTGGTAATTATGTTGGTTAAGTTTTCACTAACTCAGCACAAACTAGAATCATGTGGGAAGAGTGACTGTCATTTGAGCAATTACTTTGATCAGATTGGCTTGTACGCAATTTTTTGAGATATTTTCTTGATAAATGATTGCTATGGGAGAGCAGATACTTTTGTAGGTAGTTTCACCAGTGGGCAGATGATCCTAGTTATATAAAAAAGCAAATAAAGCAAAGCATGATTGCAACCCAGTAAGCAACATTCCTCCATGGTTTCTGCTTTAGTTCCTCTGTCCAGGTTAATGCTTGATCTTCAATTATGGTTTGTGACAGAAAACTGTAAGCCAATTAAACCCTTTCCTCCACATTAGCAATAGAAAGCAAACTAATCCATGAATATGAGCTTAATTTTATTTGTAGTTTGTTGATAACTTACATATAGGGAGTAATTTTAGAATTCATATCTTTTGAACATGGTTTCTTAAATACTGTTCTGTTGTCCATATAGAATTTTATTTAACATATTTTGTTTATGAAGCAATGATAGTAATTTATTCCATATGTCACCAAAATAACAGACATGAAAAGAGTAAAAGAAATACAAAGTTTAACAAATAAAACATTATGTGCATTAACAGTGAAAACCACACAGAACAAAGAAGCATAAATCATCTAAGAAATTAACAGACCTACCTGCACCATTTTCACATTCCAAGTCCTATCTCCAGCTGTACAACTGCTGGCTCAAACCGAGAGAGGCTAGACTCAAACATACATCAGGCACATAACTAATAAAATAAGTGCTAATGCCCAGGGCACTTTGCAAAAACATTAACAGTTTGAAGGGCCAACACATTATGTGCTTTTTAAAACCCATTAGTCCTGCAGAAATGTTCTACAATGAGAATTACTAGGACACAGAACTAAAAAAAAAAAAAAAAAAAAACAATAAAAACTTCAACTGCAAATTCAAAAACTTCAATGAAGACATGAATAAACATCTCAGTTAACTTAATGAAGATAAAAAATAAATGTTTGAGTGTTGCCCAAGAAAACACAAACACATGCAGAATGAAGAAAGACAATTGAGAATTTAGTTTAATAAAGAGATAAAGTGCTTAAGAGAACTCAAGCTGGAATGAATACGTAATTGAAAAGCTCCATAACCCAATGAAAACTTCAGAGGAAAGCCTCAATAATTCCTGAACATAAAGTAGTGGGATTTGATCATTCTAGCAAGGAATATGAAAAAAAAATTAAAAAAGTTAAAGGAATATGCCAGAACTGTTAGACACCATGAAATGACCAAATCTTCAGATTGTGGTCAAAGAGGATTCCATAGACTAGATCTTCAACCAGTTCATTAAAAAAAAAACAAAAAAAAAACTTACAATCTAAGGAAAGATGTATCTATACAGATACAAGCACACTGAACAGCAGAAAGGATCAAAGGGAAACTACTACCCACAGCACATTATATCAGAAACAATAAATATACAAAACAAAGAGAATGCATTGAAAGCTTCAGTAGAAAAACTACAAGTCACATATAAAGGAAAACCCATGAGAACAACAGCTGAACTCTCATTGGAAAGTTTAAAAGTCCAAAGATGTAGGAGAAATGCCCTTCATGTTCAAAAGGAACACAGATGATAATGCAGACTACTGTACCCAGCATAATTCTCTTCCATACTTTAGAAAGAAATCTTTCCATGATATAAACAGTATAAAAGCTTACATGTCCATAAAACCAATGCTCCAGAGAAAAATGAAGCAATACTTTTGACTGAAGAGCTGAATAAGCATAGCCAAGACATTGTTAAATGGATGGAATAAATACAATTAGAAATATACATATAGCATTTTCTAACAATATCAGTTTCAAATTTGTGTACAATATAAAAAGAAAACAAACTTATTTTTTCAAAAAGGAGATGACAGAAAATATGTTTAAAATTCCTACAATTAAAACTTAAGCATAAAATTAAGAGGAACATTTGTCCCTGTGCTTTTTCCAACCTTGGTCTCAACAATTCTCGCTTATACAAACCTTCCTCTTTCTCACCAATTGGACTCCTGGAGCTCCACCTGGGGCCTGACCTTGGATCTCTGCATCCGGTTCCCTCAGTCATTGGATGGGGTTTCTAGCATGACAATTAGGATGTTTGGCCAGGTGGCCTATGAATACTTCAGAGATCTATTCAGAGGACCTGATCCAGTTGGGGGCCCCTCAGCCTTTGGTTCATAGTTCATGTGTTTTCATTTGTTTGGCTATTTGTCCCTGTGGTTTATCCAACCTTGGTTTCAACAATTCTTGCTCATATAAACCCTTCTTTTTCTCGCTAATTGGACTCCGGGAGCTCCACCTGGGGACGAAAGGAAACACATGAACTATGAACCAACAGCTGAGGAGCCCCAACTGGATCAGGCCCTCTGGATAAATAAGACAGTTGATTAGCTTGATCTGCTTGGGAAGCATCCAGACAGTGGGACTGGGTCCTATCCTTAGTGCATGAACTGGCAGTTTGGAACCTGGGGCTTATACAGGGACACTTGGCTCTGCCTGGGAGGAGGGGACTGGACCTTCGTGGACTGAATCTACCAGGTTGAACTGAATCCCCAGGGGAGTCTTTGCCCTGGAGGAGATGGGAATGGGGGGTGGCCTGGGAGGAAGGCGGGGGTGGGGGGTGGGAGGAGGGAAAACAAGGGAATCTGTGGCTGATATGTAAAATTAAATTTAATAAATAAATTTAAAAAATGAAAAAAAAAAGAGGAACAAAAGATTGAATAAACATTCATACAAAGAAGATTCACTGATAGCTGTAATATTTAAAGATGTTCTATTATGTAGGTTGTTGGAAAACAGATACTGAAATAAGGAAATAAGACTCTGCTTTATGGTAGCCATTATAATATATAAAAGGTAAGAAATAACAAACATTAGGCAGACTGTAGAGGAACTGGCACCCTGATGTACTACTGATGGAAACAGAAAATGATACTAGTGTAGAAAAATACACAGGCATGCCTATAAACATAATACAGATTTATCACATTAAGCTAAAATTCTGCCCCTTGATAAGAACTCCACAGCTCCATTCCATCTTCCTTTTTGCTTTTTTTTGTTTGTTTGTTTTTGACAGTATCTCACTATGGAGCTCTGGCTGGCCTGGAACTCACTTGCTATGAAACACAAAGAGATCCATCTGTTGCTACTTCCAAGGGCTAGGATTAAAGATGTTCAGCATCACATCAACTAAAACTTTTTAAAGCAGGGATAAGCCTAGGTTCTATTTACACATTTTAAAGCAGCATAATTCAACAAACCAACTACAATAGCAACCACAAATAAGAGAAACACCACTAGATTTATTCTAAAAATGACCGGATGAATTGAATGGAGTCTGTAATATATTTTAAGTTTACTAAGTGTAGATATATTTTATGTAATGCTTATTTGAGGTTCCTAGAAAAAAATTCAGAGACACAATCAGGAAGTCTATGGAGATAAAGAGAGATTTCCCTATTTGCATATAACCTTCCATGTTTACAGAGTTATATTTGAAGAACAAAACATAGTTCTATTGACAATGGTGGTGTTTCTTGCAAATTAATACAAATATAATTAATGTATGCAAAAACATACTTACAAAATATTTTAACCTCATAGCTTTTGTATTAATTACTTTGAACTGTCTCCCCTTTGTTGATCATTTTATGTTTTGTGTTTTTATTTATTCTTTAATATTTCATGCATTTATTCCTGTTCTGTTTGTTTGGGTTCTGTTTCTTTCTTTGTTTGTTTTTTCTCAACTTGGCACAAGCAAGAGTCATTTGGGAAGAAGAAACTACAATTGAGAAATTTCTCCCACCAGATTAGCCTGTTGAAAAGCCTGTGGAGCATTATTTTTGATTGATGTTTGATGTGGGAATATTCAACTCACTCTGGTTGTGCCAGCTGTAAGCTGGTGGTCCTGGATGGGATAAAACAACAGTTTTTGCATGGCTTCTTCAGTCCCTGCTCCCAGATTTCTGCTCCAACATCTCTCAGTAACAATGTGACTCCAGAAAATAAATGTGGTAGTAGTATAACATAAAATATTCAGACTTGAAAGTTAAAAAGGAATGTCATTTGTGAAAACTAGCTATAGTCCCATATCAGCATCACCATTAATTTGTTAAAACTCAAAAGTTGGTGCACTGCCAAGTTGAAGATGACAAGAACACAATTAAGATTAACTTTGTGGAAATGTGAGAGGTGCATGGTGAAAATATAAGTCAAAAATTGAATATTATTCTAGCATATAGAATATGTGACCTTATTAAGTTAAAGGGAAAAGCATAGTAACAGAAATTTATGTATGAGATTATGTCATTTATATTTGGAATGTAGAAAATTAAATATCATAAAATCCAATATGCCCTCATCAGTCTTTCTATTTGCATTATGCAAAATGAGCTAGAGTTTTCCTGCCTTGACCACAGTCAGGACAAATCTTTCTCACTCACCAGTCCTGCAGCAGCTCAGACCCAACCACGTAGACACAGAGACTTATATTGCTTACAAACTGTATGGCCGTGGCAGACTTCTTGCTTACTGTTCTTATAGCTTAAATTAATCCATTTCCATAAATCTATACATTGCCATGTGGCTTGTGGCTTACCAGCATCTTCACATGCTGCTTGTCATGGCAGTGGCTGGCAGTGACTCCTTCCACCTTCCTGTTCTTTCTTTTCTCCTCTGTTAGTCCCGCCTATACTTCCTGCCTAGCCACTGGCCAATCAGTGTTTTATTTATTGACCAATCAGAGCAATTTGACATACAGACCATCTTTTTTTTTTAAAGAGGAAGGTTTTAACTTTTACACATCTCCAAAGCCAGCTTGGTATATTTGGGAATTTGGGCGTAGCTTCTCTTACTACTTCTTGCTGGAGGGGGGTGCTGTATCTTATGGGGACACAAAGAAAATTTTAGGATTATGGAGTAGTCCGTGAGGGTATATCGTCTGAGCCAGTTGCCTTGAAACAGTTCTGGATGTTGGATCATTTGGGCCTTGGTGTCATCGGAGACCTTTCAGGGGGTCATGGTTGGTCAAACCTGATGTATCTTAATCTGGAACAAATCCATAGCCTCTGGCTTTTTGTGGAAAAAAAAAAGCAGAGCCTCTTTTCCAAAGCAACATATCCTTACATCCAAATTTTGAAGTCAAGGTACCTTTAAATTATACATTTTGGCATAACTCAACAGCTTTTGTAATCAAATGTTTTTCTTCAGTTACGAATATCAAAGAGAACATAATCCAGATTCTCTGTATGATAGCCATCTTTATGTGGCTTATTTTTTATATTACCTTGAGCCTATTGCTTTAAACTGCAGCATTCTAAGACTGAAACAGCACTGTGGCTGCTGGCTCCACCCACTTCAGCTTCTCAACATGGTGGTGGTATGTTTACCACCAGCTCTGGGAGCCATCTTGGGTCTATGCTTCTATCAAAGTAGCATGTAGCTCAGAAACCTCTTTTGTTTTGTACAAGGCTAAATCCACGATGCTGACACAGCTTAATTTGCCAATTGCAGAAGCCTCATTCCCGCCAAACTGCAGGTCGAGCTCACACGCCAGAAACCTGCCATAGTAGCTCAAACACATAGGCTGCCACTAACTTGAGAGAAACAAGTAGGAACTGTTTTTAGATCCAATTTAGAAACTTTTTTCTCAGGTTTTAGGTAGAAACTCTTGCCAACAGGTTGGGCGCCATTTGTAGCTAGAGTTTTCCTGCCTTGCCCACAGTCAGGACAAATCTTTGTCATGGGACATTGCATTTAAAAATAAATAAAAATTATCAGAGTATTCACTTACTTATTCATTTGTTTCTAATTATAGCAATAGTATCTAAATTAATTTAATTATTTTTTCTTCTGAGGGTACATTCATTAAACTAAAGAAAGAAAAACATAGTGAACTTTTCCATACATAATCTTAAAATTGATATTTCTCCTCTTGAAGAGGAATTCATAATACTCCTAATTTATTCATATCTCTGTCAGATGAAATTTGGTAGTAAATACCCTGAATGCATGTAGAGAACCCATATGGAGACTGGAGCGATGGCTCACTGATTAGGACTACTTGCTGTTCTTGCAGAGGGCCTGAGTTCATTTCCCATCTTCCACACTGGGAGGCCCACAATCACGTTTAACACTAGCTCCAGGTGGTTCAACACACTCTTCTTTTTTTTCATTTTTCCATTTATCTTTATTAAGAAATTTTCTACTCACTCTACATACTACCCACAGATCCCATCTCCCAGCACTCCCTGCCAAGCCACCCCGCATCCCCACATCCCCCAAAATCAAGGTTTCCCATGGGGAGTCAGCACAGCCCGGCACACTGAGCCTAGGCAGGTCCAAGCCCCTTCCCACTGTACCAAGGCTGTGCAAGGCTCCACACCACAGACACCGGATTCACAAAACCTGGCCTGTGCAACAGGGACGGATCCCGATCCCCCTGCCTGGGTGCTCCCCAAACAGTTCAAGCCAAATAACCGTCTTCTGTATCCAGAGGTCCTAGTCCAGGCCCATGGAGGCTTCACAGCCATTAGTCTACAGTTCATAGGCCTCCAATAGTGTGGCTGGTCATCTCTGTACTTCTTCCTATCGTGATCTTGACATTCCCAGCATGCAAAATCCCTCCTCTCTCTCATTGATTGAATTCTTGGAGCTCAGCCTGGTGCCTGGCTGTGGATCTCTGCATCTGCCTACTACATCAGTCACTGGACAAAGGCTCTATGATGATAGTTAAGGTATTTGGTAGACTGGTCACCAGAGTAGACGAGTCCAGGCATCCTCTGGACCACTGCAAGCAGACCAACTTGGGGTCAACCTTGTGGATGCCTGAGAGC